ACATGCAATATAGTAGTATGCAATTTATATAACGAACCAACAGTTCGAATAGAAAAAGTGTCTGTATATGTATTTTATGAAGCGAAAAAACAATTATTTTTATTATATTGAATAGTAAACCAAAAATTCTCAAAGATATATTTCACTTAAAAAAGTTTTCATAATATTAAAAATAAATCATAGAATATCGCCACGGCGAATTTATGAAATTAGAACATTTTGACTTACTATGAAATACGTCATTTACTATTTGTTTTTTTGACATTTCTTATTGTAAAATCATATAGATTTGTCTAACCCATCTTCCCGTGAAAAATGGTTAGACGTTATATACATGATTTTACAATAAGAAATGTCAAAAAACAAATAGTAAATGAAGCATTTCATAGTAAGTCAAAATGTTCTAATTTCATAAATTCGCCGCAATGTATCTTCATTTTTTTTATTTTATTTATTATTATAAAAATATTTTAAATCTTTATGAATTAAAGGGTTTAACCCGTCAATAATAATAATAATAATAATAATAATAATAATAATAATGATGATAATAAATAAATAAATAAAATATTGCATATAAATATATAGTAAATTTCTCCAAAGCACTTTGTCTTAAAACGTTGTAAACATTTTTGATAGAAATTTTTTCGTTCAAGAAGCCCTCATAGTTTCGAATAAAATAACACCCTTCGCAGACTTTAACATGTCGGTTCAACGCAGTAAAAAATAAATAAATAAATTAACAAAAAATACTAAGCAATAGCGATAGTACTCTAGTAACAGTAAAACAGAAAAATTTGCGATAAATGATTTGTAATCAATCAATAATGTCTTATAAGCCGAAATTACAGGTAACCGGCAGATCTATCCTGCTACCATTTTAACGCCGGCTGAATTAAGCTGTTAAACAATTAGAAAATTTTAGGCAGCTCCAATTCCTAATATAAAACAATCTTATCTATGACTTAATAAAAATATCTATTTATTGCGGTTTGCAAAAATGTGAAATTTGCAGATCAAAAAAAAAAAAAAGTAATTGGTGATTTCTGATTCTGATTGCCGATTTTTTTAACATTTTTTGCAGAAATAAAAGTTGCAGATTCATAATTTTGTAACATATTTTGATTTAACATCTTTTGTAGGAATATATTTTGCATACTCTTCATGTTGTAAAGAACTTGATTGTGTAATATTAAATTTTGCTTCTTTTCTAGCCCGGTAAAATTTACTATTGCATGATAAGCAAGAAGAAAATTTAAAAGCTGCACTAAATTCAATCTTATAAGGATTATTACATGATATTGCTAAGAAACTTTAGTATAACTTATATTTTCATTACAATAAATTTTAGAAGTTGATAAAAAAGACATTTGTGCATCCATAGCATGTTCCGGGATAATAATTTTAGTCATTAGAAATGATTTTTTTTTTAAAAAAATATATGCTAAATAAAACAAATCCATATACAATCTTATATTTAATTGTCAGGAATAATAACGTCATCGATTGTCAGATTTTGTAATTCGTTATCAATATCTAAAATTGAATCAGTGTAAGTAATAAATTTACTTCCACCACTAAATGTATTTGCATACGATTTTTCGATATTTTCAAGTTTTGATATTGAGTGTTTCAATTCAAACAAAACATTTTCGTTATTTTGCCAATCCACAAAAGCTTCATGGAGTTTTTCTGCCGATGGTCGATTTTCAGGTTCTTTATCCCAACATCCTTTCATCAGTTTTACATAACATTGTGGTGCTTCTTTATTAACGGGTGGTCGTAAATCATCATAACATATTTTTAATTGAAGCTGTCGTTCACTAAATTTATGGTCATAAGATACTGACATCCCGTATAAGATTTCCCACATTATCATTCCAAATGAATAAATATCAGATGCTATAGTATACGGTTGACTCATTAAAATTTCAGGTGCAATATATGGCAGAATTCCAAAGATTCCATCTTTCTTTTGTTCAGAATTAGATTTTGCTAACCCCAGATCAGAGATATACGCGCTACGTAAATCACCTTGCAAAATGTTCCCACTGTGTAAATCTCTATGTATGTATCCTTGTGAATGAATTGCTTCAAGATTAGAAATAATACAATTCAATAGTTTTAATTTACGTTTCCATTTCATTTGAGATAATTCTTGAAGGTTATCTCGTAAAGATCCCTTTGATGCATATTTTAAGACAAGAATATATTCTTTGGAGTCTGGTTGTTGTGTTATTCCATGACATTTTAAAAATGATGGATTTTTATATCCGATTTCACAATATACTTTTAACTAATTAAATCAATTTGTCGTTTAACGTTAATTTAATAGTTTAAATAAATACAATAATACAGTAATAAAATTACCTCGTTTATAAATTCTTCATAATTTGATTTATGGAGCGATTTAAGGACAATTTTCGATTTTACAAAAAAATTGCGGGACCAATTAGCACGATATACTGTTGAAAATCCACCTTTACCAATTTTTTTGATATTTTTGAATTCATTGTATGGAATCCATAATAGTTGATGATATCTCTCATTAATCAATATTTCTTTTAAACCATTATCAAAATTGTTTATCATAAAGTTGTTTCGCTCCCTATTTATATAATTTAGTAAATTTGTGTCAAATATGAACATATTATATATTTATTTAATGTCACTTACATTCTATACCAATGATTAGCTAGTTGTAAATCTCTAGTTACTCCGATTCCAAGTAGATAACATAAACGTACATTACGTATTCCATTGGCATTACCCATCTTTGCGGATTTCATATACCATTCGAACGCTTTATTTTTATTCTTTTCAACTCCAATTCCATTTTCATAACAATATCCAAGATTATTTATTCCAGTAGAATTACCCATATCGGCAGATTTTTGAGAATAAACGAATGCCTTATGTTCATCCTTTTCAATTCCAATTCCACAAGCATAGCAAAAGCCGACATTATATATTCCATTAGAATTACCCATATCAGCGGATTTTTGATAATAAATGAATGCCATATGTTCATCCTTTTTAACTCCAATTCCATTATTGTAACAATATCCAAGATTATACATTCCATCAGAATTACCCATAACAGCAGATTTTTGATAATAAATGAATGCTTTATGTTCATCCTTTTCAATTCCAATTCCTTTTTCATAACAAATTCCAAGATTGTACATTCCACTAGAATTACCCATATCAGCAGATTTTTGATAATAAACGAATGCCTTATGTTCATCTTTTTCAATTCCAATTCCATTTTCATAACAATCTCCGAGATTATAAATTCCAACAGAATTACCCATATCAGCAGATTTTTGATAATAAATGAATGCCTTATGTTCATCCTTTTCAACTCCAATTCCTTTATTATAACAATATCCAAGATTGCACATTCCACTAGCATTGCCCAAATCAGCAGATTTTTGATAATAAACGAATGCCTTATGTTTATCCTTTTCAATTCCAATTCCATTAAGATAACGATAACCAAGATTGCACATTCCATTAGCATTACCCATATCAGCAGATTTTTGATAATAAATGAATGCCTTATGTTCATCCTTTTCAACTCCAATTCCATTAAGATAAAAATATCCAAGATTACACATTCCATTAGCATTACCCATAACAGCAGATTTTTGACAATAAATGAATGCCTTATGTTCATCCTTTTCAACTCCAATTCCATTAAGATAACAATATCCAAGACAGTTCATTCCTGTCGCATGGCCCATTTCTGCTGATTTTTGATAATAAATCAATGCTTTATTGTCATTTTTTTCGACCCCAATTCCAATTCGATAACAATCACCGACTGAATTGATTCCATATGGATCTTCCATGTCTGCTGATTTTTTACAATAAATAAATGCTTTATGATTATCTTCTCCAACTCCAATTCCATTTGCATAATATGAGCCAAGCATACACATTCCAATAGAATTTCCCATCTCAGCTGATCTTTGACAATGAATAAATGCTTGATGATTATCATTTTTAACCCATTTTCCATGATGATAACAAGATGCAAAAATGCATTGAATTATGGAATTAGCTTGAGTAATAGGATTTGTTTGGTTACTCAGACATACGTTGATTATTTCTTCTGGTGTTTGTTGCTTATTTGTAAAATGCTGGTTTATTGAATTAAAAATTGAATCAATATTATTTTCTTTCATACATTCTTTATTACACAGATCACATAATTCTTTGACAGAAAATCCAGTGAATCATGCAATGATAAATCTGCTCGCTTTGAAGTATTAATAGCTTGATCCTTATCATCGTGGATAGTACTTTTTATTGACAATTCTGTAGATGGATTATTGTGAATGTCTTGCAAGCTTTTTTCGTTTGACATGATAAGTAATTAAAATTATAGAATATGGTTCATCGAGAGTGTTGGGCTCGTGTGTATAGATTATCCCGATTTATGAAAATACGGGCATGTTTGGTAGTAAATTATATATAATCGATTATTACACAAATATTTTGTAACATAATTACTTCCGTATTAATAATGTCATTGATATATGTAGGAAAATTTGCCAGCTCTACAGTTATTTTCTTTAAGTGTTTTGACTATATCACAATCTTTGGTATTCATTATGTAATTTGAACGATACAAAAGAGAAAATCTGAAAATCTGCGCTTATGAATTTTTATTGACATCATTTATTTAATAATAAATAAAAAGCAAATTGACTTATTTGATTATAAACAATCAACTAAAAGAATATTTCAATCTTAATACCATTCCCACTCGTATAATAATGTATAATCTGTTAATTATAATATATACGTATCCAAAAACATAATAAATAATTTATCTCTCAATCCTATTTTATAAATAAATAAATAAAGTTTATTTAACACTATCAGATAATAGTCGTTTATTAGTGATCATATATGAAATCAAAAAAATGGGTTGAAATAAATAAATATATAAAGACTAAATGTATCATCTGAACGAATTAAAAGTATCCATTTTACTCTTCCAGTCTTTCTTGTAATTCTCTAACTGTTTCTTCGAGTGCCTCCCTCTTACTTCTCTCTTCGGCTAGCCGAGCTTCAAAGTTCGCTTTAACCTTATTAATTTCTTCATTAAACCATTTCTTTAATCGAAATTCTACTTCGGAACTGCTAGAAACATTTGGAATATTGAACCTATTTGATATCGATTTTACACTACCGATAGGTTTGGAATCAGTATTAGATGAAGATGTTGATGAAGGTTCGGAAGGTTCGGAACTTGAAGTTGGAGGCTCGACTACCCTTTTTGCAACAGGTCGTAGCGCCACTGGTGGAACTCCAGCACCAGCAATTGGCAGTTTGAACATGCTTGGCTTGGCAGGCTTTTCTGGTTTTGGTGGTGTAACTTGAGATTTTGGTGGTTCTTCATCTTTAGCCTGAATTACCCATTAAAGATGAATTAATTATTTTATAAAGAACGGATTTATTAAAATTGTTAAACTTACCGATGCAACTTCTTTTTCCAATAAATCAGATTGGCTAGGGTTTTTTATATTCTTTGTCGGAGGCCTACTTCTAGTTGGCCTTTCCTTAACACCTAAACTAGGTAATCTTGGAGGAGTAGCGATTACAGGGGGTTCTGGTTGTTTTTCTTTAATTTCATTATCTTGATTAACTGTATCTTCTTGATCATTTTGACTATTGGTATCATCATGTTCAATATCAGTTTGTTGAACATCAGTTTCTTTGTTAGAATCTATATCAGGTTCTTTTTGTTCATTAGCACCCTTTTCATCAACACAAGATTCGTCATCATCATTATCATCATCTTCAATTTTTTCGCTGTATTCACGTGGTTTTGAATCTTCATCATTATCATCATCATAAGTTTCTTGATTTTCTGATGACTCTATTTTTTCAATTTGTTCTTCAGATGTTTCTGAATTCGTTTCACCCGGAGCATTCTTAGAATCTTTACGTGTTGATCTTCTTTGGACGGTAGGTGGCTTTGCCGGAGCAAATGAGGGTTTATCATCATCATAAGTTTCTTGATTTTCTGATGACTCTATTTTTTCAATTTGTTCTTCAGATGTTTCTGAATTCGTTTCACCCGGCGCATTCTTAGAATCTTTACGTGTTGATCTTCTTTGGACGGTAGGTGGCTTTGCCGGAGCAAATGAGGGTTTGGGAATTGTAGGTGGTCTTGCTAACGGTGGTGGTGATTTTGGTGAGTCAGACTTGGCTTCGTGTTGTGATGTGGGTCTGGGTCTAGGTGGGACGGGACGTTCAACAGGAGAAATTGGTGAAGTCACAATTTCAGAATAAGTGTCTGATGACTTATCAATGTCTGTTGGAATACCAGGAAGTGTAGATTTTGATGGATGACGTGGTGATTGATATTGCATTGGAGGAAGATCTGGAGAAATAAGTGAGGGAGGTCGACGAGTTACATTGGATTCACCACTTTCACTTGTACTTTGCCGAGATTCATCAGTAGATTCATGGATAGATTGTCGATTTAACGAGTCTTCGTGAGTGGAAGTTCGATTGCTTGGAGGATTTGTGGGCCGTCTTGGAGGTGTTACAGGCGATTTAGAATCTTCGCCAATTTCTCGTACATTAATATCAGTTTGTGAATGTGTAGAATGTGTAGAATTTGTAGAAAGTGTAGAAAGTGGACGTACGGTTCGTGGGGAAGTAGGTTGTTCAGGCGATTTTGTACGTTTTGGACTTGTGGGAATCTGTTGCAGTTCTTGTTCTTCAGTTTTAGCAGGTTTTTCACTGTCAGCTTCTTCTGCAGTTGGGCTAGCATCTGTTGTTTTAATCTCTGTCACATATGTAGAAGGAAATATTCCAGCTTCGCCTTGTTCATTTTTTCCCCTCCACCAACCATCATCTGTTTTTTCCAAAATTGTAATAGTCGTTCCTTCCTTCAATGAAATTTCACCTATCAAAATAATTTTTTTTTTAATTTATATAATAAATAATAAGCTAATGGCGATGACTAACCCGAGAATACGATAATCTACGAACCTTCTTCTTCAGCATCGTAATCATACATAACAGTGGCTAACGAAACAAATATAAAAAATCACACAATTTATAATCTAGTTAGCAATTATCTCAGAGAATATAAACATTCTAGTGAAAACATGCATACCTGTATTTTGTTTAGTACGTCGTTTTTTTGGTGGCAGTTTAGGAATCGTCGGAGATTTCGCTATCTATAGAAAGAAATCTTTAATTAAATTACGTATATCAACCAATACAAATCCAGAAACGCCATAGTATAATGTTTAAGTCAGTACTAAATAATTCATACCATGGGTGGAGATGCCAATTTATCGTCTTTTGTAGATTCAGAATCTTCTGAAGCGCTACGACTGGTAGTCTTTTTTAATGTAGAAGTATCATCATTTTTGGAAGATTGGTTTCGTTTATTTTTTAAAGGTATACCACCAGAAAATAAACTGCCAATTCCTCCAGGTCTGACACCATAGGTTTTTAACTTTCTTGGTAAATGACCTATGTTACAATTATTTAGAGTTATGTATAAAATTTGGAATTTATATAATAGAATGAACATAGCTAACTTTGATTCTCTGCATTCTCTTCATTTTCTTCGCCATCTGGTTTGCTTGGGACTTCGATTAATTTTACATGCTATTTTCATCATAATATGATTTTTAAATATTTTTTAGATAAATTGAAAGAAGGAAAATTGCTATTTGCAATTAAAAAGGTAGTAAACTCACATTTGCTGGAAACATGCCAATCTTGCCATTCAGATCACCTTTCCACCACCCTTTATCAACTTGTTCTATCACGGTTACCACATCACCTTTATCAAGAGATAATTCGTCAGTTTCCTTAGCCTGATAATCGTATTCGACTTTTGCCAATTTTGGTTCTACCGTATAAATTACAAAGTTTTAATTATTCGATAATTAAATAATTATCCAATATATAAAATAAAGTATATATAAGTACCAGTGGATTTTTTTGTCTGCTCGTCTTCTTCACTATAATCTACAACCGACTCGTCAAGAGTTTCACTTGACTAATCAATGAAAACGACATTTTAAAAAATGATGAAATTCGATATGATATGAAAGAAAAAAAATTGTAGATAGTTAAACTAGTAGAATCTTTGAAGTACCTTTGATTCTTCCTCAATATCCATAAGAGTAAATTTTGTTCTTTAGTATTTTTTAAATAGGAAACGATATAAAACTTCTATAGATCCGAATTAGGCGTCTAAGTGGATGAAATAAAGAAAACCACTAAATTTATATAATAGATCAAACACACAATGCGATGCAATGTGTTACTATCCAACCAAAATTAGCATTAACTGCATACATATAAAAAAATGTGCTACAATTAATTTACGTTTTAGTATATGTGTCAACGATCGACAATAATTGCATATGTATACTAAGTCACTACGTAATGCGTGTTCTTTTTTTATACATAAAATTGGCGTGCTGCGCAAATTAAAATATCTTTAAATAAGATACTATTCATATATAAATTCAACTAATAGTGATCTAAGACTGGTTTTAATCTTTTTTCTTATAAGTTATCTTGACCCGTTCTCTACAACATTTATAAGAAAGAGAATTATCTAAGTCAATCGCAACCCGGATAGTGATTATAGTGATCTTGGGTATAGAACTTTTAGATTGTAATTATAGTCATGCTTCATGTGCAACACTTCCTTATAATTTCTAGTTTAACTACTTATGTATTAACTAAATTAAATTATTATGTACTGCACATGATAGAAAGTTGACTACTGTATTTGAAATTCACGTGATTAGCATTGAACCATGTCGAGAAACTTAAAATTTAATTTGAGTTAGTTTAAGCTATAGTAAGGGTTAGGATATGAGTTAAAAAAAGAGTATATGGAGTGAATTATAAAAGAAGTGTTTTATTAGGACACGAAAAGTTAATTATAAAAATTTTGAGCTATATAATATTTCATCAAATGAGCGTTTTGGTCGGATTACTTTTCATTAATTATATGCTTTTATTTTTTGCCACTAGAGACGCATTACTACTCTTAGGCTATATAATCAGTTAGATAAGCAACCGTTCATATTTATACTTGCTGCTCAATCTACTCAATCTACTCAATATAGATACTTTTATTGTATACTTAACCCTAACAGGTTATATTTCTGTACGAATATTAAATAGTACCGTAATATATATCGATATACACTATAGAATATAAGCATATAGAACAATAAAAATATAAAGATGTCAATTTACATTTTAATGTTATAAAATTAATAGTTTATTGAGTTTTTTTTTTTTTTAAAAAAAAATTTATATTACTGTATTAACTTTTTTTTTTTATAAAGTCTGTTTTCTTAGTGTAAACAGTATAATAGTTAGTATATAGTATTTAACTTCTTTAGATTCCTTCGCATAATGATTGTTTAAATTAGATACCTTGAAAATAGAGAAAGTTTCCTTTTTTAAGGTTAAACACTATAGAAGCCACAATCGAAGACACAATCAAATACACAATTGAAGACACTATTTGTAATAGTACCTATTAGAATCATCACGTACTTTACTTTATTCATCATCATTTATTGTTAATAAGTTATTGTTGATAATTATTCGCGGTTTTTATTAAACAGTTTCACGAATTACTTATATTGTTTGCATTGTTCCGTCACACATTTCGATCAGTTGATCAATAACTTTTACCAAATCTAGCTAGAACAAGTTTTTGTGTAGTGTTACACAACGCGTTACAGCACAAATGATCTGATTAAAGATCAACACCCATCAACACACCCCTGATTTGGTTTATCTTTTTTAATCCCCCTTGCATAAGATTTGAATATAAATTGTGAGTAAAAGACTGATCTAAAATGATTGTTTTGATTCTTTCTCACTCTTGTTTCACAATATATAAAATTTTTTTAACGTGGATGCTTTAACTCGCTCTAACTTTACTCATCATATATTCATATATTAATACTTAGAGTTTGCGTATTTTGTTTGGGTTTTTTGACAGTAAGTATTAAAAAAAAGTTCGATATATGTTGTTTAAAGTTCCCGTAATGGTTTCTTTGAAATATTTCTTTGCGTCAACTTTATTGCAACGATATCGTACGGTATTATAATCTTTAAATTATGATGTTATGTTGTTTAGACTTTTTAATATGACAAGGAGAAAGAGGCAAGTTAGTGAACAAGAAGAACAAGAAGAGCAAGAAGTACAAGAAGAACAAGAAGACGTTTATGATGCAATGAGAATTTTAGCAGAAAAATATGATAAACATAATTCCGTGATGTACCTAGTACAATGGCAGGGTAAAGATCCAAGTGGAAAAGAATGGGAGCCAACTTGGGTGAGATTTTTTTTTCATGTCTTTTTCTTTTTTTCTTTATAAATTGCATTTAGTAATAAGTGTTTTAATGCATTTTTTAGGAACCTCATGAAAATTGTGGAATTATGCTCATACATGAATGGGGGGAAGAAAAACGAAGAAGAGAGCTTGGAATTTATGAGCAAAACAATACTAATGCACCGATAGTTGACAAAGGAGAAAATAATAATGCTGAAAATAACAACGATGTTTATCAATCACGACAAATAAATGGAATAAACGGAAGAGGCATATTTTGTGATGATGCTAATCTAACCAATGATGTTATTTCTGAGAGTTCTCGAAGCCAATCATCTAAAAGAATTGTACGTCGAAAAAATTCTACGAAAGGTGCTGATTTAGATAATCATCGTAAACGCAACGTTTCTCTAAAGTCAAGACAAGTAAAACTTTTCCAAAGTCTTTCTAATAAAGGCAAATTATCAGTTAATTCATCTCGTCGTGTACCAGACAGTAGTAATGATTCTCTTTCCTCAAGCGACTCTGAACAGGAAACTCATCATCATATAAACGGAAATGGTGCAGTTAAGTTTTATAAATATCCTCTTCGATCTCGATCCGGCAGACTGTCGATTACTAGGCGATTGGAATGTTCATCCATAAGTAAACGAAAGGTATCTCCACGTTCATTTGATGGTCGAACTACTGATGATCTAGATTCTCGGAAAAAATTACGCTTTGATGAGGATTCCTATAGTAGTGAAGAAGAAATTTTGTGTTCAGGGCAAGTGTTTCCTTGTGGTCAAATTACGCCCATCACCGCTCATTCTCCAAAAAATGATGCCGATGTCGATGATTTATATACATCACCAATAACGAAAACGACGAATATTAAAAATGCTGATAAATTGGTTTCAAATTCTACACCACAAAACACTATCAGCCCTCCTACTAACGTTAATATGAATGGTTCTCATGAACATGCGCAGAAATCATCGAACGGTTTCGATTTAGGAACTACTGCTGCTAATGATGTTAATTCATCTTCAAAAAGGCCAATTGATCATCATCATTCCATTCAGAATATTAGAACATGTATTGCAACGTCAACAAATCAGTGTGTAAATATAAATGTAAATACGCAATCTTCTGAATCATTACTCTTAATTGCTCCGAAACCAGTTCAGACGGTACGAAATGATGTTAACCAGAAAACTACACAAAGACACACCCAAACTAAGGCACGTAAACCACCTTTAAAAACGGATGCTGTAAAGAATATGTCTCAGTTAACAGTTAATTCATCAAATCCTCCAATTTTACCAAAACCACCAACTTCTAATATTGTTCCCGTTATAAGACCAGCGTCACTAATGAACAATAACACAAATATGCGTTCTGTACAAAACAGAACAATTAGACCAAATAGTGATCTATATTCAAATCCAATTAGGCCAAATTGTGATCTATATTCAAATCCAATTAGGCCAAATTGTGATCTATATTCAAATCCAATTAGACCAAATAGTGATCTATATTCAAATCCAATTAGACCAAATAATGATATATATTCAAATTCAATTTTACCGGTCACCTTAAAAGATTGCCAAGGTTCTGCCGCATTAGCTGATCACGGACATCAATCAAGAAGTATGTTACATACACCAATGACAACACATAGGTCGTTAGGTGTGTCACAACCAAATCCATTAGGTGTAGGCGTAAGTAGTTTGCAATTGGACAACTCCGTCGCTACAACGAATACTACCAATTGTAATACTGCACCAAACCTTCGAAATAAAACTAATATACCATCTTATCAAGAAATTCATGTATGTATCATTTTATTTGCAATTTACTTTATAAACACGCACAAGTTTTATATTTATTATTAAATCTATATATAGAATGCTTCAGAAAATCGTTATATGAAGTCGGAATTAATTGAACAAAGAAAAACTATTGAAAGGCAAACAGATCAACTTTCAAAAGCGCACAAAGCGTTGACAGAAAAAACTGAAGAATGCGAAAATTTGAAAAATACTATTAGTAATATGACTACTAACGAATCTCTGAAACAAGAAAATGAATCTCTGAAACGAGAAAATGAAATGTTTAAAATGTATTTTGCAAAGGTTATTCAGGATGGAGGCACAATTATTCAAAGAGACTATGATAAATTGTCAACTATGTGTACGTCAATTCAAAATTTAAGCAATCAGCATGACATTATTGTTAATCAATTACAAAGGGCAGAAAACACGTTCACTAGTTCTAATAGTTCTGAAAGTCATTCGCAGTTGCGTAGTAAGCTTAATCAATCTAAATTAAAGGTTTCACTACTAGAGAAGTCGTTGCAGATGAAAGATGAAAATGAAAAAATTTATCAACAAGCCGCCAAATTAGTTCTTGATTTAAAACTTGAACCTCTGAAAAATTACATGGAATTGCAAAATAGTGTTAAAGCATCAATTCCTTTGTCGATTTTGAAAGCTTCTCGTATGAACACTGAACATAATGCTACTAGGAGAGATACATCCGTAAACATCTCTACTTCAAAAACTAGCAATGATACACTTTCGAGCAATATTAATACAAGTAGCTATATAAATGCACAAACGGACAATTCTCCTTTTAATACAAGTAGCAATTATATCACCAAAAAAGAAGTAGATAATGAATTAACATTCTCTGGTATCCATAAATTTACTTCTTTAAATGGAAATTCTAGCATTGCTACAACTACCAAACTTCTCGATACAACTGATAAAAAGGGTAAATCAACATTTTACCCCGCTTCTCGAAAAATTGTGGCTAGTTCACCAAATATTACCGGCAAACGTACTCAAGAAGTATTTTGCAACTGGGATTTTTGTAATATGTCGTTTCAAACAAAGCCAGATTTGAGAAAACATGTATTTTATTCTCATTTTCAAGATCACGAGAAGGATTTGAAACCATACATATTGACATTAGACTAGGGTTACGATACGAACCTTTTTTTTTTTTTAATTGACATTGCTGCATAGTTTGGGTTTGGTAACGGTATTACTACTTCATTTAGATAATGATCAAACCCCAATATATGTCAAACTCAAAATTAATAAATTTGTTAATCAAAGGGCAATAAATTACTAAAAACTTCGTAAATAAAAGTGATATTTTAGGTCTGATAGTTATATCTAATATGTATACTGTAAGTGAAAACAATATAAAGCCAAAATATCTTTCGAAATTCGTGTGGAATGCAAAAAAAAAACCCCCCTTTATTAATAAAATTGATGCTTTGTCGATTACGTCATCCATTGTTGATTAATACTAATTGATAAATGAATTACTCGTGATGTGGCAAAATCATTTATAATTAAATTCACAGTTTCAAACAATGACCCGAAACTGAAGAGTATTATAGCATTATTATAGCATTCTTAGTAAATTGACACAGAAATCTGCGAAACAACCAGTCCGAGTTAATCGGTTATTTTATTTATTGTTATTATTACGTATATTGTTTTCATAATCTTTAAATATTGCTAGGAAATCAGAATCTAATAGAGATCCGAAGCGAATAAAGTATTTAAAAAACAATTATTACACTGACTACAAAATCATTCACGGGGTCTAAAATCCTCAGTTTTCATTAGTACAAATCAGACGGACAGCATAGATGTGCATTCAGTTTACCTAGAAATGAGTTCTCGTTACGCTTCGGACAATTAATAACTGGGCAATTAGAACTAGAGATGGGCAATATGCATATTTTGGGCCATGCAATACGTATATGCTTGATAAACATGATGTGCATAGTGCACATAATTAACACTATTGGTAACTTGTACGTAAATAAATTTATAACAAATTATATGTGTACGTACTTATATCAAGCACTGTTTACTAAAACGCACCTGTGGTGTTTTACCACCTATGTTGTATTAGTTTAAAAACTGACAAATTAATTGGTATGCGGTATTCTAAGTAACAATGCTCTACGCCCTCCAAAACCTTTACCAGCCCCTAATCCTAACAAAAATACTAACCCCAGCATGAAAAATTCGAGCTAAAAATTTTTATATAAAACTTATAAAAATTAAGAAAAAAAATATATATATAGAAAATTTCTAAGCCTACACTAGTGTGTACGCACAGGCAAGGTTGGCAATGGATAGACTCCATTGGGAAAATTACCAATGGAGCGAATGGAGCCCAATGGAACCAATGGAGTGAATGGATCCCAATGGAACCAATGGAGTGAATGGAGCCAATGATACTAATGAGGAACCTAATAGAGCTAGTAGAGAGCCCAGTGGAGATAATGGCTCCAATAGAAATATTAAACAAAGCCGATGAAGAATAGGGTTCTAATCTCTAGCCTCATATATCAATAGCTTATAAACAGGTCAAACGGATCAATGTCAATAGAGTTGGTTGGCTTCCATTGACTCCATTCAGAAATTATTCTCAATGGAGCAATGGAGCAATGTCAATGGAGTTATTCTCCATTCGTCCCAATGGATAAATGGCCAACCCTGCGCACAAGATATTAATTTATTGATTTGCAAATCCGGGCAACATAAAAAAAATATATTTAATATTAGAGTTAGGGTTAGAGGTTAGGGTTAAAGAGTATTTTATACTAAAATTTTGCGTAGATTATTTTTTGTTAGAACCCCCAAAGTAGTTTCATAAGCAAAATTTTGAGTAATAATGATATCCTGTGACTAGTGTACAAATATAATTCTCTATTTATATATATTTATTTTTAGCCATTACTTATTTACAATTGCTTATATTAATAATTTAAACTTTAAATTATAGTTAATTTTTTTTAAATATAATATATACAAATTAGCTTAAAATATATATTTAAAATAATTTGCATTTGGTAAAAGCTAGTTAGATTGTAGTTTAAAAATTATAAAATTTAAACAAAGTTATATACTTTAAATACTAAAATTATATTGATTATATATATTAAAAAGGTAAAAATTTGCATTTTGCAAAATATAAAACATGTATTTATCATTAATAATTTTATAGCCAAAGCAAAAACATGCATTTAGAAAGATATTGCATTTATAAAGATTATATTTAAAGAGTTTGACTATATTTTTAATGTTTTTATTATTTTTTATAAAAAATATAAAAAACATATAAATAGCTAGATTTAGTTAGTTGGGAAATAATACAGTGAAATATTAAATATTCTAAAAAAAATAAAAATAAAAATAAATCAATTATAAGTGCAAAAAATATATATTTGATACATCTATAAAACGCCCCTATAGTGGTTTTGCACCTATTATATATATGACAATTTCTATTTGTACACCTGTGTATGAAACACAGGTATATTAATAACTCAAAATTTTGTCTATGAACCCACTTTTCGAGTTTTAATAAAAAAATCAACATAAAATTTTAGTATAAACTACCCCTAACTCTAACCTCTAACCTAACCTATTTTAACTTTAATTCAATTCAATTTTTTTTTTTTTAAATTTTGTATTAAATTTTTTATAAATTATACCTGTGTTTTATACACAGGTGTAAATTTATAAATTTTCATTAAAATAAATATTTTTAAAAAAAATTAATATATGCAGTAGCAAAAATTTTTATTAAAATTTAAAAAATAGCTTTATAAATAAAATTTTATATATTGTATTTAATTTTGCAAATTAATTATCTAGCTATACCACATAATAATAATTGTTATTACTAGTAACTACTATAGTTAAAAATATTAAAAATTCGTAAAAATTATTATAATAGCTTATATTATAAAATTATATTTTAATTTGGTAAATTTAAAAATTACAATTTAATTTATTTTTTTAGCTAATAAAAATTTAATAAATTATTAATAATATATAATCTAATACGTAAAATAGTAAATTACATTTAAATTGCCTGAAAACACTACTTAGTTGATAAGTTATAGTATAAGAATTTTATACGTACCCATAATTTATCTGTATCACCATATGAGATAGCAAGAACTCTGATAGGTTAGAGATTATCTAATATTTGTATCTCCGAAGCTTTTATAGTATTCGTCAAACGATTTGAATTTTTAATTGTTCTAACTTGCTTATGTACATTTATTTTTTAAAAAAATATTACTCTAAAAAAATTAAAAATGTATAATACTATAATATTAGTAATGTAGTATTATATTGCACGTTGGAATCGATTCTAATAGAAGTTAATCCTAACGTTTATATGAAAGTTGGGCATCCAATAGTTGTTTTTTTGATTATAAAAAAAACGCGTGTAACAATATTTTGCCAATATCCAATCAATATGAATCATGACTAGAACTGTAACATGAGTTTGTTAACCGAATTTGGTAGCTCATCTTGCATGAGTGTGCTCAATTTCTAATTAAGGTTAAATAAGGCAGGTTTTTTCGATGTGCAACCGGAAATAATTATCAATGATAAAAAGTGATTTTCCAAAATCGGCTTTCAGCATGTGAATGTATTAACGTTAATGATCTTTTTTGTGTGATGTATGATTCGAGTAATTTAAACACGTTCTCTTAGCGAAGAGCATGACGGAATTTTTTTTTAATTGGCTAGTCAAAAATTCTGATTGGCCAAAATTAAAAAAGGATCAGCTTTCGCTATTCCAGATTAGCGTCTAATGCTTTTATAGTATTTCATGAAATGATTTTACTTATCTTGCTCACGTGATATTCGAACCATTTATCCATTATTTTTATTAGGTATTACTGCCACTTTAAATTAAAAATTTCTATTGTAAAATAATATAAAAAACTTGAACAACAAAATTTTGTCAATATATTCAATCAACCGAATTTCCATCATGTGAAAAAGGAATGATATCGAATTGATACTAAGGATTTTTACTAATGCCTTTGTTTTTTTTAAAAAAAAAAAAATTAAACTTAATGTATCCTGTTTTTAATATTGATGAGTGTTCTCGTTTAGAAGGAGAAAGTTCATCTACGATGGGAAGAAGGTTCAAGTTACAGTATGCGGAGTTGTTAAGAATTGAATTAAGTAATTTAAGCGCAAAAACCGTGCATGGGCTATTATCCTTAGGAAAATTTGAATAGGAATATTTTAAGGTTGATCGTTGGAAGGATGAGAAATATAGTTTAATTGGTTTATTTTGCTTCTTTTTGTTTCATTGCAGTCTCATCGGTTGAATTTTTTCTTGAAATAAAATATACAGATTTAATGATACCTATACTGGTGTTTTGTAGAATTTCTGAAGCAAATAATAATTCTATTACTGTTGTTTTAAATGGCAATTATATGCATGTTATATAAAGTACCTTGTAAGTCTGAAAGAGATAGCGATCTTAGTATTGAAGTCCAACGAAGTTCATCAAAAAGTGTAGGTCCCATGATCTCCAGCATTTAGACTAAATTCTTTTTTAATATACTGTATCAATACGTTACGTAATAATCACATCAATCAAAATTTAAATATCATATCAAATCTAACCATTTAGGTGCTCGATCGAACACATACCTATGCCGGTTTGCAATCAAAATTCTTGTCATATGAAAGATCAGTATTCAAATGTAATAGCAAAATAAAGCAATTCTTGAATGTGCCAGGTTGATGGCACATTATCCAGCCACAATGATCTCTTATTTCTAAAATTTCTTTTTCAACGAAAATTCCACCATGTGTTCCATCAACCGTCCTGTACTTTGAATGTTTTCTATATTTCTTTTGTGAGTTGAAGACATAACAAAAATAATATAATTTTTAAAATTTTTAGTTCGTTCATTATAAAAAGGTACCATTATAAAGGGAGTTGACCGTACTTAATATGTAAGTAG